CTTAACGGCCTCGATGACTTATTGTAAACTTGACCTGATCAATGCAAAGTGAAGAGAGCTTTTCGTGGAAACGGTTACTTCTCTCAAAGCTCAAGCACTGGACAGACTGACAAAAGCAGAGGAACGAGGGTGACCATCTAATTTTGAGTCCACTGAAATCAACAGCAATATTAGAACCAAGGAATTTGACAAGTCAGTACACTCTACCATATCACTTTACTGCTCCATTTGCTGCTCTGTTGTGCCATGACGTACGATTTTTGAGCATAGTAAGAAACAACCGGATGTCGTAGTTATATGGTGTACACTGAGGGTTAGGTGATGAAGCACGCTGTCCGTACCGCGCATCAGATATTATTATCTGCGCAGTCCACATCAGTAGTATATTTGGCCTGATATCTCGAACCATCGTTCACTCTAGAATCGCCATTGCCAAGTTCAGCTGTGTAGAAGAATGTCGAGAACAATATCGAACAGCAATGGCAGGAGTACATGTCCCTGGCGAATTCCACAATTAATGCGAACCACGCAGCTGGCACTTCTTAGACTTTCACAGCAGATACTGTTCTTGCATATAAGTTTTTTAAATTGACACTGCATAAATTTCGTATTTTTAAATTGACACTGCATTTCACTTGTCCCATAGCGATTTAAGATATTTTATATCATTGGAAGATGCACTGAATAAAATGCGCGCTTAAAGTGGAGGACACCGACAAACAAAAGCAAATAATATCATGGCTCAGTGATCTCGTAGTGAGTGGACATTTTTCCAGTGAAGAATGACCCGTCAGCAATTTTTTATGGTTAGGACAGTCTGCATCGGCCTTTCCAGGATATTGCAGGAGAACAACTTCCTGGGATCTCGCAGTCGTGTGATACTGTTTTAGTTTAATTAGTGGGACAGTTGCTGCGGGAGCCTATTTCTCAGGAAAACATGTTGAAGTCTACGATTGAAGAAATAGGACGAGGAGGTTTTTTGTTACTCCTCTCAATTTAATTGACTCTGGGCACGGATTCGATTCGATTCACATCAAAGGCAGGATTCTTTAGACAACCAATCTTTTTAATACATCTACACTACCTTCTGTTGGGAACAAATTCACGACTGAAAGGGACAAATTTGGAGAAAAGTTGTTGAGGAGCTTCTAAATACACTTATTCCATCCTTGGAGCCATGTATTGAACTACTGATAAGACAGTGTTGGCGAATTACATAAGTAACGAACGATTTTCTTCTTTAGCAGACGACTGTCAAACTCCTTTGAGTACTGCTCATCGGTTACCCGTTACCTTATCGAATTTTCGGATTTTCCACTCCAGGCGGAGTTTCTTGTCTCCCTCTAGCAAACAGCTATATGCTGCGGGGGGATAGTAAGATGTTCCAATCACTTTTCTGCGCATGAATCATGGCAAGGGTCGTTTTCGTAGCAGAGAACAGTTTTGCTTTTCTCCTTTGGAAACTGAACGTTTTATTCACTGAAAAATGACACCTCTGAACTGTTAGCATAATGGATGTTGCCACTTTCTCACTGATCCCTAAGGGGATATCAAAACAATTGACTACTTCTTTCTGACAGGTCAACCATGCAGCTAATTTATGGTTTAGCATATCAACAGCGGCAAAGGTTGATGCTTTCAAACCAGGCAATGTCGATGATATCTTGTCAGTTTTCACCAAACCACGGTTGCGAACATATGGAGGTAGGATCCAATGTAGACGCCACACCTGATAAGTTTCGAGTAACGAGCTGCACTAATTGTGGCTAACGAGGACGTGATAGAGTTAAGACGTGATAAGACCTTAGGCTTCCATCAAAGAAGGTTTATGTGGTTTAGCGGCGGCGATTAAGTTGCTTGTCAAGCGAAGGCGTAATAAGCGTGCGTCACTGTCATTCGTTGAATCAGACTTGTGACTGTAGGGGGCCTGGTCAGGTATTGCACTCGACGTCAACCTCTGCTACAGTGGCATTTTGACGTGTCAAGACGTTGACAGCTAACGGAAAGCAATCATAAAAGTGACTTCGCCGCTGTCACTTGTCACGTTTTTCGAGGAATAGACAGCAACGACATGACAAGCTTCACCTGTTTGACATTTTCGCGACAACTTGGGATCCTCTCCGACCACTGTTCAGTTGAAATGACAAAACGGTTGATCGGTGGCCAGTAACGTAGTGTTGAAAGCAGTGTTGTGTGCGCGGCACATTTGAAGCTTAGCGAGGTAAAGGGAACGTCGATATTTGACTGTCATTCCAGCGCCAAATTAGCGTCTCCCGCACCCTATGATGTTCGCGGCCCTGATTGGTGCCTTTTCTATGGAACTTCAAGCACTTCAATAGAGGCATATGCTCCCTCTAAAGCACCGCATGACTGAGTGACAGACGCTATGGAGTGCGCCTCAAGAACGAAGTTAACCCGGTAATCGAATGCTTGGCAGCTGAAAGTTAGGCGTTTTCTGAATTGAGTCGATTCAATGGAAATTTAAAACCGATCTTAATAGGTTCTTTCGTGCTTTAGAATGAAAATAAATGAAAGAGTTTGGCCTGAATCACTCATTCAGTTGATGACAGATTTGCACATTAGAAGTACCACTCATATTTATCAAGTGATAGGCACAGTAAATCATCTCGTATGACCATTCCTGATAATCTTAGACAATACATTTGTTGTCATTGTGCCCCAAAGTCTAGATACTGTTGCAAAAAACAGCTTCATCCGCGCAATCAGGCGATAGGCGGCTTTTCTTATCATTTCCTGTATCAGCCAAAATGTTGAGGTTGGCGCAGAAAATGCACGGTTGTTATCATACGAAGTCTTCAATATATGTATGCTGAATGCATTACACACGTAAGCACAAAACAATGGAGTTTTATGAAACACTGCATTTGGTAAAGCTATCATCCGGCGAATTTAATGTTAACCAATCTTGTAATCGAAGAATTCTTGTCATCGAAGAATACGCATATTGCGCTGAGAAAGGTACTAATCGATGAAATTCTAATTGTTTGAAACATTTTAAGAAGACAAAATTTTTCATTAAATCAGTTTTTTCCATGCCTACTTCTTATTTTGCCTGAATTGTTTATGTGCCATATTTTGAAGCATTGTTTTATGAAAATAAACGATGAACCTGCTAACGCAATGTTAACGTGATATTCTACCATGATTCACGCAGTAACTGAGTAATTCTTGTTTAGGAGAGTATAGCTGTTTGCGAACTACTCTTATTCTTCGACGAGAGTACAGTTATTATTTAATAACACTGTACATTCCGAGTTTTATGCTGGTGATGGTCTCATGGGTGAACTTCTGGATAGACAAGGACGCTGTTCCTGCCCGAGTGAGCCTTGGAGTCACCACTCTGTTGACAATGACGACACAAGCATCAGGAGTCAATGCAAAACTACCTCCTGTTTCTTACACTAAAGCAATTGATGTGTGGATTGGTGCCTGTTTAGGCTTTATCTTTGGAGCACTTCTTGAATTTGCATTGGTAAATTACGCTGGAAGAGTTGAGTTCCTAGAGAAAGAAAGAAAGAAAAACAAAAGCTCATTGATGCATGAAGCTCGTTGGCCAACGAATCTTAACATCACTCCAATACCTCCACTACAACGCTCATCAGTAGGAATAGCAACGTCGTTGCATTCAACTTCTAATCCTTTGAGGACAACGCCTTTCATCGAAAACTATCCAATAGAGGCTGTCTGTCCTGAATGTAAGGCCGAGCAACGCGAAAAGGAACGAGCCCTTGAGGCAATGGTATGATCAGTGATGTTACGCGAAAATAAAATGGTTTAGAGCGACGTTTACTTTTGTAGCGACCGCTGATTCACAACGCATTTGATATACCTCCTTCCGTAGCCTTTTCCAGAATACCCAATCGAACGCCAGGAAAGTTGAGGAGTCGTTGGTGTCTTCAAATGTGGCTGGTGAAGTACAAAGAACGATCGAAACGAATTGACGTCATTTCTAGATTTATTTTTCCCATTGGATTTTTTTTCTTCAATTGTATTTACTGGGTTGTCTACCTTGTCTGACGTCATCGTCGCGCGTAATATGTTAAAAAGAGAATGATAGGAAATATGGACATCTGAATCGTCGTACATTTCAGCCATTTCACTGCTGCAGTTATTCAATCGTTTTAAAATGTTGCTAAACGACCGTCGAAGAAAGAACATGCGTACCAGAATATGCAGTTCTGCTTATTGTCGTTCGATATTTAACCAGCTTGGCACGGTTTCAGACTCTGTTGACCATGGCCAAAAAATTCATTTCCAAACGTGAAACTCGACAAAGCTTTTTCCTCAAATGTATAAGGCTGTCTAAACATTGAAAGTGAGTATCAGTTATGAGCAACCGCCTGCTGCGTTGCTTCGGGTTGTTCGTTTTGCTGCTACCACAACTGTAAATCGAACCAAATGTAATAAAACGTGTACGCGAATTTGATTTATTTTGCTGTTTAAAATTTGTGAGGTAATGAAGCAGTTACCGTTGCCTGGGTAAGATAATATGAAGACTAGCGTTCTTTGTTGAATTCATATCCACCAAGGTAAACCAAATTTACAATGCAATACTTTCTGTTTTGAGCACTGAAGCAAGGCTACAATTTAAATATCTGATATGCAAGTATTAATACTCATTCAAGTTAGTTTTTAATTTATGTAACATTTAAAATATCAATATGCAAAAACGATTATCTGAGTTTACTTTTCAAATAATTTAGATATTTCGACCTGCTGGCTAGTTCAACAAACTGTATATTGTTCTGTACTTTAAGTGAAAACTACTTATTTCAAGGAGCTACAGTCTTTCAATATCTGATCATTCTTTCCACTATTGTATAATCTATATATTTGTAAGCCCGCTGAAGTTAAAGCTAATTTCAAGTAGTAATTTAAGTTTATTTGAAAAATCAAGCGATTTCATTTGCAACTTTATAT